ACTGCCCGGCCGCACCGAGAACCGGCTCAGCCGACAGCAACACTTCTGTCTCTTAGCCTCTATTGTGCCTGATTCTAGCAGTTAGCAAAACCCTGTTTCCAGGTGCCGAAGAATGTCCCATCATCCACAGTTAGGCTAGGAGCTGCTTCTCAGCAGCCACAACTTCATGTATGCGGCCACTGCCCCGACCTCGCAATGAATGAAGTCACCCTCAGCAATGTACAAATCGCCCGCAGGACGAGACATCCAGGGGCCGTCGTCACGAGACCTGCGATAGGGTGAGGTGGACAAGGAAATTGACCCTCAATTGGCTCTCTTATGGCATTGCCACAGCAACAATCACAACTTTCTAACTCCATTATATAACTACTGTATGTAACTCATTATGTGAGTAATGGACCACATCTCTGGCCAGAAGGCCCTTTTGGGGATGGTCAGGGTCGACCCCCTTCCTCTTTCCATTCTGAACCAACCAGGGGGGGCCGACCCAAACCATAAATCTTGTCCAATCCTCATACTAGTTACTAGTAGAGATGAACATGCCTTTGCACACTTGCTTCGGAGTTGCTTTGTCGGCAACAAGTCCCACCTGCTGCAGCGTGAGATATTCACCAAGCGCCAGGGTCTCGCCTTGAGTGCATGACATTTTCACCTACATAAAGTAATCCTTTTCCCCACCCAACATGATCGGATTCGGACTGGGCTAAGCTGGGCTAGGTAAAGGTAGATATTCTGCTTCACGCTGTCCAATTGCGAAGCGGTTCGCGTTGTTATGGCTGCAGCTGCTGTGCTGCAGCAGCTGCTTTTTGTTGACGCAGTGCCCCTTCGGGCCAACAAGGACAACAAACTGCTGCCGGCAGGCACAACAGCAACAGCAACAACAATGCCACGACCACAACGACACCAACGGCATGCGCATGAACAACAAACGAAACAACAATTGCTAAGATGATGAGAGTCCAAACCAAATTCACATAGGAATAGGCGATACTATCCATATGGTCCCTGTATGTCCTTGTAAACCATCATGGTTGGGTGGAGGCCCAGGTCAAGGGTCTCCACCAAACCGTGAAGAAAATGCTCAGTTTCTGTCGCGCGCGCAACCGCGAACGCGGGCAAATCAAAAACAGCACAACTGAGCCAACTTGGACAGCCAACTTGACTGAGCTCTCAGCGTGGCCCAAGCCATGTATACCGAAATGTATCTGCGCACAGATCCGTGATGTAGCAGTGGTTTTCGGCTTCCAATGACGACATTTCTCAAAGAAATGGGGTTCTGGCGCCCATCTCAAGAGCTGAAGCGGCACATCTCATGGTTTTACAAGTCACCAGCTCAATGTGTCGGGGAACATGCGCTCTGTATTCACAGAGACGAACTTCACATCGCAAAGCCTGTGGTCGAGCGTCACACTGTCGCACCTGGAGTTCATGGGGTGTCGAATCGTTCGCCAGCATGAGCGCTGGTTTGGCATTCAAACTAAGCTCTCCTGTGTAGTTGAGTAGTTTTCAGATCTGTTCAACTTTCACATCTACAAACCTTGCCAACAGATCTATATACATATAGTGATATATTGTCTTTCTAAAGAGAAAACATGCCAATGGCCATGCTCTCTGGGCCAAGCACGACCTGCAGGGTCCAAAGATAAAGGCCACCTTTTTCCTTAGCTGAGTTGGCTCAGGACTGGCCAAAGATTAAACGCTGCTGGCTCATCCTCTAAGATCCCAAGTCGAGACTTTACAGTAAACACTGCAAGGGCTGCAAGGTGGTGGACACCTCGGCCTTTTACTTGAATAAAGGTAAACCTCCTGTGTCCAAGGGTCAGTAAATAAAAGTCCGCCAAATATCAACAAAATACGAGGCTTGCTTGAATCCTTCTAATTAATATAAACAGCAGCTACTTCAAAAAAAACAAAACATTTTTCTTTTCTGAATCTCTCTTTCTCTCTCTTTCCCTCCCTATATGTAAAATATTTGTTTTTGCTGTGGATGATCTCCCAAGGTCCAAACTAAACGCAAGGAGCCGGCAATGGGCAGGGCGCTTCTAGCCTCCTGTGCTTCACGGTCTCAGGACAAAGAAGGGACATCAAACACCTCCTAGTAAACCAGCATTCGAAGCCTTACAAAACATACAATATATAACATGCTCATTCTTGCCAATGGTCAAACAATGCAAGAGAAGAACTCGCGTAGCATCTTTTTGCATGGCAGCTCGGCACCTGGTTGCCCATCTTCATCACCAGCTCTCCACACGAGCCGGAGACCTTCGATCCAACACGACGCTCGAGGAGAGCGAGGAGCGCTGGCATCGGCTGGTGCCTCGAAGTCGTTGACGCTATCCACCGAAGGGACCTGGTCACCGAACTGGTGTAGAAACACGGAAAATAAACAGTCATGTCAAATGTCGAAACACCACGAACCAGGCATGAAACAATTATTTTGCTGCCAAATTTCATAGCTCTTTACTATTCTTCATTCGTCAAAGGCGTGCAGCCCACTTCTTCCATCTTGTCTTGATCTGTGAATCCTACCCAATGCTCTCGCACCTGGAGAACCACATGCATGTAAAACCTTGTAAAGCAACACCTGGTGTGTGTAGCCGTATACGCCTCCTTAAATGCAGGGCCCATCATGCTATGCCTAGAGTTCCTACCCTGCTCAGATCTGAGAGGCGCGCCCAATAAAAGGGTGGTAGACCTTTGGGTCTCTGACATCGCACCTTTGGGTCGAAGCGCTGGTTTACGACGAACGACGCTGAAACCACGTGACGTCGTGTGTGTGCGTGTGTGTGTGTGTGTCCACCCCTGGGCAAAGGGTTTCTACCAGCCACTCCAATAGCCACTTTCCAACCACAGTTTCTCAGGCAGGGGGGCAGTGATCCCTTCAGCAGTCACTGCCTAACAAAGACACTGCTGATCGGATGTGATATTCGGAGAGGACGCTCTCTGAACGTACCTGCCGAGTTTTCTACAAGCTGTTACACTACTTTTCCACGGTTTGTTTCATGGTTCTTCACGCTTCCTTCCCCCAAACCTTTTCCTCCCCAGCAGCGATGCAGCTTGAGCCGCTTCGTCACCGCAGTCAAGGGAAACAACCATTGTTAAAACACCTACAATTTTCTCTGACTTTTCGCCCTGCCGTTCCATCACCTTCCTTCTCAACGTGGGAATCGAGATAACTGAATACAATTGTCGAAGTGTGTTTCGCTCAGCCGTCCCACTCGGGTGCTGAGTGTGATCCCCGTCATTGGGGCGCTGTCTCATCGTGCAAGCATTAACTGACCTCACCACTTTTCACAGGAATTCCACTGGAAGTCACTGACTACACAACCACAGAATTAACTGCCACAACGGCCGCCGGGCCTCACCACGGGAACTGACAGTTTTGCAACACTTGCTTTTTTGAGATGTTTGACGGCTAAGTATTCACATGTGCATGTGCTGCTAAGTATTCACAGGCCGGATGAATTAATCGTGCATGTTTCCCCTCCCTACCCCTGGGCCTCCGTTGCTACCCCACCCGCTACTCGGGAAACAAAAGGAAATCGCACTCAACACACTTGTGTGTTGGTGCCTTTCCTTCTGTTTCTCCTAGCCTATTGCTAGCTACCCGGGCGGTTTAAGACAAAGGTCCCGCTCGCGCTCTACTTTCATTTAACTAAGTGGGCCTCGTAACTACCCCTTTCTTTCTTTCTTGCCCTCTTAGTCTGCTTTTGTTTTGTTTGCTTTGTCTGTCTTTCTAAGGCTTTTTAGGTGGCTATTAGTTTTTCGCAGCGCCAATATTGGCGCTTTCTGTACAAAGTTCCACTTTCAACGTTTTTTGAAAAAGCGCCGAAGCCGGCGATTTGTGTGTGTCCACCCCTGGGCAAAGGGTTTCTACCAGCCACTCCAATAACCACTTTCCAACCACAGTTTCTCAGGCAGGGGGGCAGTGACCCCTTCAGCAGTCACTGCCTAACAAAGACACTGCTGATCGGATGTGATATTCGGAGAGGACGCTCTCTGAACGTACCTGCCGAGTTTTCTACAAGCTGTTACACTACTTTTCCACGGTTTGTTTCATGGTTCTTCACGTTTCCTTCCCCCAAACCTTTTCCTCCCCAGCAGCGATGCAGCTTGAGCCGCTTCGTCACCGCAGTCAAGGGAAACAACCATTGTTAAAACACCTACAATTTTCTCTGACTTTTCGCCCTGCCGTTCCATCACCTTCCTTCTCAACGTGGGAATCGAGATAACTGAATACAATTGTCGAAGTGTGTGTGCCAAATCAGTCATTTATCACATGTTTTCAAATGTTTTTCTTGCAATGAAGCTGCGCTGTCGCTTTGTACCTGGCGAGGTGTTGGAACAGAAAAATAAATTCCTGTTGGACATTCTTGGCTTAAGCTTCACACTGGCAGCGATGCAGGTGGACTAGCCTGAAACGGATACAAAGGAGATACTGATATATATATATATATACATAGTGCGAGCCAAGGAAAACTGCTTGTCAACAAATCTCTGAACAAAAGATACCAAGGGTAACGTCCAACAATCCACTCGATCGAAATGTCCCCCTTCCTTTTCAGAAGGCCCACGTAAACAACCAAATCAAAGCAACCGAAATCCGCACAACCGCAGCAACGCCTGTGTAAAGCTGGTGGAGCCAGAGCCAGTACGAAGCCTGCTGTCGGGTCAGCAGCAACGCTGCTGCAAAGCACTGTACGCGTCTGTTGCAACGAAGCGACTATTCAACTGTGATCGGAAGTTTCAATGATAAAATGTGATAAAGGACGAAGGAAAATCCTGTTCCACATCAACATTCAACAGCATCATCAGATATAGCCAGTAGGAATTATCGAGTCCATACGAAGTCCTTCCTAGGCTTCTAGAATCCAGAAAAGTCTTAATTAAAAGAAAAACACCCCTGCAAAGCCATCATATTTGTTCGGGATGGACATCCACCTCTCGAATGAAAGCTTTGAGATGTCCGGGTCGCTCTCTCTTCTGGACCTTCCGGGATCAAGGCCACTGGAATGTCACAGCAGGTGTCTAGTTTTATCTCAGGATAACACCTACGCGTTCAATTCTACCTGCCGGCCTGCCTCTCCCTATTTCTATATTTCTCCATATTGTCACAAAGAGTTTTGGAATCATGGCAATGTAGACTAGCTCAACCGACCAAGGGTACAAAAACACACGTCAAACAAACTGCAGCTTTTCTGCTCAAACTCCGCTTACTCTTTCGCATCAAACTCAAGGATCGCTGCTCTCCTTGGCAATGGCAGGCTCTGCTGGCGAAACTTTAAACATCTTTTAACAATGCACATGTGGCAGGATTCTGAAAGAGGACAGGAGCCAGTCTTTTGTTTTTTTGTCACCCAGGAGATGGTGGTGCCAGGCGGGCTGGCCATTTATATTCTTGTCAGCAACACGGGCCCAAACCATCCATTGAAAAGCAACCTGAGAAGTCGTTTGCCGTCGCAGTATGCACATTTTAACTCAGGGTTATCCGTTGTGGGATCCGAAGCCTTCTGGGTTCGCGTCTATCAGCGGAGTGCGTCAACACCATACCAACTAGGTAAACTAGGCTACCACACACACACACACACACACGCAAACACACACACACACTCTCTCTCTCTCTCTCGCGTCTTAAAGGTATATATATCATGGTATATCACAACCTGGACAATTCATATTTGTCTTCCTTTTTGCTGATGTTTCTCCCCATGCTTTGTTCTCTTCCTTTACATCCTTTACCAAGTCTCAAGGCTGCCATCCCTTCAGATCGCCGACGGATGCAAGTGGCGCCCAGTTCTAGGGCGCGCGCCTCCGCCCGGGCCTCAACCGGGGAGAAGGAGGAAGGTGCAGCTGTTGCACGATGTATTGAAGAATGCACCCCCAAAACCCTCCATCAAGTTTCCACAATATTGCAAAGTATTGAAAGTTGTAAATGCTGGAGCGATGAAAGTCACCATAAGTCACCATACCCCACGCACCAAACAAAGGCTCAAAAGAAGCGTGCGAGCCTTGAGCTCGGTGTCCTACAGCAGTCGAAACAAGGAAACTACCGAACACGCCGATTCAACTCTGATTGCATGGCAGTTAATCAAGACTCTCACGCAAATTCTGCAAATCCAACGGCTCGGGCATACCGCCGTTCCGCAGTTTCTGTGCAACCCTATGTGCGGTACACTGCTTGCAGCACTACTTGAAAAATGGATGGCTTGCCTGATCTGGCACCAAAGCAGCAGCAATCAAATCTGTCCCCGTAAGGATCGCAGTCCTCAATCCGTAAGGATCGCGCAAAGGCCAAGCCCAAGGCGGTCCGTGCAACTTCACCTGGGTCCGGCTGAGTCCGGCTGTCTGACTCGAGTGACGGACGGAACTTTGGAGTTCGAACAGCACATTCCCCACTCATTTGCAGCTCATGAATAGCCTATTGTTTCTTTCGTGAGCGTGACTGCATGTCATCTTGGAAGAAAACAAATGAAACAAGTGCTGTGCGTCCATGCCGAGTGGCAGCCGATAAATCCCAAGGTCTCCACTTCGATGGTCCTAGGCTTCAGCTGCTGCTCTGGACACGCAACAGCTGAAGTCTGAGAGGCAAAACACCAGGCTGAAGGTGGGACGCCCTGGTGCATTATCTGCATTTGTAGCATGGGGGTCAGCCTATTTTTGACTCTATAAGGCTATATATATATATTTGTATATATTTGTGCTTGTTGCATCTTATTGCATCTTATGAGCGCGCTTGTCCCCCATTGTTCATTCAGAATCTCATGGCTCTGGCAAACCAAGCGGCCCCAGCAAATCTGAGGAAATACCAGCAGCCTGAATCGAGCTGAGTCAGCTCCGCTAGCAGCAACATCGGCCAAAGTGGCAGAACAATATACAGTAGAATTAAGGCGTATTGTTGTTTTGCACAGCTAATTTGGCACTGATCAGCTTCTTAATTTTCAGGTAGTGGGTAAACAGCTACTTGGTCTGCTGATGTCTGAGCTGGCAGGGGAGTCCACGACCTAACTCTGATCAAGGTCTGCAATTCCCTGACAGGGGCTTCGAGAGGCATGGGCCTGAAATCTAATCCTTCGCCCAACAACCAGTGCACCAAGATTACACCTAGGCCCAAAAAGCGCTTTCAATTGCTTTCAATGTGTTCCTTTTTCTGCAAAAACGAGGTGTTCCAGGAGAACATGAATCGCGTCTCTACCTTCCACCTCACTTGACTGTGATTGCACCTTCAAAGCCGGCCTTCATGGCCTCCACATATGCTTCCCAGATCTGTTGCGCCGCAAACAAAATCTGACTGCAGCAGCTGTGCTTTTGGGCACTGTGAAAGCCTTCGCACAGCTCAGCCATGGCACATACCCCAACACCAGCAAGCACAAACATGATGCATTTTCATCAATTTACAGCAGTGTACAGTCTTCTATAAAGAAAGCACCAACACTTTCAATCCCGCAGCAAAGCCTCCCAAGACGCCTGTTGCCTCATCAAAGAGCCGAGCTGAATCCTTCAGACCCCTGGTTACCGCTCAGTGGCAATATGCCAAAACGTAGGTGGACAGGAGCGATCCCACATCCAATCCGGGAGGCCCAAAAACCGCAAATTCTGGGTCGATGATCTTTACCTCGGTCGATGGTTTCGGAAAACGGTTGGCCGGAAACGGTTGGCGGCTCCTCTAGCTCGCGAGAAAAGAGGTCCTCAGGTGAGATCAACCATGAGCCAAGGCCATCAAGGCCGAAGGCCGGGCTCCTATGCTGCCATGAGTCACTTGAGGCGGCACCATCAACCTCGAGGATACATTGGTCTCAGGTGGAATCATCTCATAGAGACTTGATTAGCTCTGATATATGACATCTATGACTCATGACATATTCGATGCCTCACATGCAACAGCTTCTACAGGCTCGAGGAGCTGCCCACTTGCAAAGCACAATGGCAAAGCACACTGCTACAGGTGCTGCTTGAAGTGCTACCATCGCCGAATGAACGGTTCACAATCACTCACCATTAGCTACGAGTGGCCATGACGCTGCCTGCGTGCAAATCGCCGTGGCAAAGGGACAGGTTCTCTTGGTTTTGGCCGTTGTAGATGGCCTGACGCTGACTCAGAACTGGTGTTGTTGTTGCTGCGATTGATCATGCGACACTAGCCACTGGCCTACTAGCTGATATGAAAAACACATTGAATATTCATATGAATTCAATCATAGAGCAAGTATTCGTTGATAGCATTTGCTATTTACGACCCCCTGTTCTTTTTGACTTTCATCGCCTTCAGATTCTCCACCTCTGTCATGAAGCCAGAATCCTCCCGTAGCATAGCCGCGCGGGGATCTTCTCTGTAGCACTTGGAAAAAACATACCTTGGAGGCGGTGGTTCTTTCAACATCCGCTCAAGGAGATCTGACCAACGAGCTGCGGCAGAATTGGGACCGGTTGGGATGCTTCAGGGGACTTCATTTCTGTGTTCAACCACCAAAGTGCACCATTGAAGTGTGTCACCTCGCATGAAACCGTCTTTCACCTCTATTCCGCCCTCTACACGGGCTAAATGCAGGATGACAAAACAAGCAAGACATGCCAACAAAAAACAGCTTCCAAACAACATGCAACAAAAAAGGGGATGACTAACGTCGACTTCCGTTTGGTTTTACCGTATCATATGGTGTCACACACCCACCTGCGTCCAGGGCCCACTCTGAAAGGCCAAAGCGCTCCAATTGGATGTCTCGAAGAAGGCCTTGGACTGCCCACACTTCGCTGCTTGGGCTGTGGGAAATGCCGCCATTGGACACTTTGGTCTCTGCCCTTTCTGCCAAATACCAAGTTAAGTTTCCCATGAATAGTGCGAGCGCTTCTTCAACCAAGCTCTTTAGGGCGGCGGGGCAGCTTCCTTGATGAAGCGTGAGCTATCCTGCGTCGTAGGTAGTAGCTACTTAAGCTACTAGCTACCTAGCTACTACTAGCTACCACCTCTAGCGGCGCTAGCGGCCTAAAAATATAACGTCTTCTGCGGCGTAGCATTCGTGTCCTAGTGGCGGTTCTCATAGCTCGCAGCCAAACGAGCACGCCCGCCGGCATCCAGCTTGCTGCAATGCGTCCTGGCGGAATAAGGTGATCTACGGGGTTTGATCTTTGGGGTCTGGGATTTGCCATAGTGTTGGATTTTTTTTGGCACCCACTGCCCCCCGTTGCAGCTGCGGTTGATGACGTTGGCGGCGTTGGCGGTGATCTTGCAGCTAGGTCGGAGGGGTGAGCCATCAGGATTGAAACTGGCCACAAACTCGGAAGAAGCACCAGAAGCACGATCTTTGGAGGTCTTGATCCTTCGTGGTTTTCACATGTTTTCACCACATCCTGTCTTCATGGTGCCCAGAAGCATGCCACAGGTGCAAGCGGCAGGCATTGTATGGCATTGCGTTCATGACACAAGCAACATCTCACCATTGAGATGTTCGCCGGCGGGTGCGTCCAGGCGATGAAAGCGCTACAATGACGGCGCTTGCATGCGCTCGCAACAACAGTAGCACCGGCGCCCGGCGCTGATGGTCCGTTGGTTAAGCATTTGGAAGCTTTCTAGGCACCCGGATTCCTAGATCTCTCTGAGGTACTGGGGATGATGATCTGTGCAAAGTCTGCAAAACCCCCTATGTGCAACGCTGGAATCAAAAAGGGGCACAAGCGGCTGGCCACCCTGTCCTCGAGTGCATTATCGCCATGCATTCTCCAAGGCTCTTGGCCAGCGTCTCCTGTGCCTCACCCTGGACAGTGGGATGTCACTGCGAGCAGCGGCTGCAAGCTTAAATGGGGCGCTGGGTGGGGGTGGGGTCAATGTTCAGTTGTCGGTGTTCACCAACTACCTATGGACTACCTATAGACTATAACAATCTATAGCACACAAATGTGGCTCCAGCCGAGCAGTTTCCAAACCAGAACCATGGTGGTGCAGTCTGACCTCGGCCATGCCTGGAAAAGGCTCTGTTGTAGAAGCTGAGAGGAGCCAAGGAACTCCATAATGAATGCCATGGCTTCCTCATCAAACCTCACGTGGAAACCAACATTGTTTTCCTGTCCGAAAGCTTGAGAGCAGGACCGGCAGAAATTTTGGTGCCTTTGGCACGCACCTTTCTGTAGACTCTAGACTCTGGACCTGACATGCGGAGCTGGGTTGCCCATGCGACTCTGAACTGAGGCAAACGCTTCCAAATTCTCGGAATGTATCTTGACATTTCAGCACCTGATCGACCGGACCAAATGTAATAAGTTGTGAATGTCATGTCAGTTCAGTTTGAGTAGAACAGTACAACCCGAACAGCAAAATGGGTCCAGCACATGGCTTTTGTTGCGCTTTTGCCACTTCGGCCTGTCTCATGCTCCTTGTCCTGTGCCGCCTCACCCTGTCACACACACACACACATCTCCCACATCCTGCAATGACGGCGAAGTTATGTTTAGGATCTTGTAACTGCTATGCCAGCTATGTTCGGGACTGGGGGAGCAGCTTTGCAGAAAAATGCTGAAGCAAACCCATGGACAAAAGAAAAAGACCAATCGACCCATCTCTACCCCACTCGACTCACGCTTTAGCCGCTTTCTCGCCTTTGTCGACCCACTCCTGGTAGACCTGCACCTCTAAGCGCATCCGCTCACGCGTCAGCTGTGCTGCAGGCCCAATGACCTCGAGGCTCATGGGGCTCATGTGGGCTCATGGCAATGTAGGTGGTTCAAAGTAAATGCCTCTTCCGGTTTATGGTGGTTTTGATATGCATCCGCTTCTGTCTATTTCAATGAAGAGTGCATGAGATCGCCTTGATGAAGTCAGGGGCTTGCTTCACAAAGACCGCATGGCCCTTGGCGTCACGCACGGCAAAGGCGTAGTTGAGGTTGCCACCTTCGTTTCCCGGGAAGCCAAGAGTGAAAACGCGAGTGGCCGAACATTAAAGGGGCTGTTCCCCGCCTGTGACCTCTTGCGCTTGTAACTTGCCTTGTCATGGAAGGTCTGGAAACAAACAAAGCTGCGAACACAAGGAAACGTATTTAAAAAGAAGAGTGATGCCGTGACTAAAACTCAAAGCATACCTTGGAGAATCACTGAGAATCTGAGCATCTCTGGGCACCCTGCTGCAGTCCAATGGCGCCTAACAAACACACATTCATCGCCCAAGTCTATATTCAATCACCACATGAAGTCCACATGACCATCATCGCCTCAGGATGACTTCCCAGTTGCGAGGCCACCTTGCCAGGTATGGCACAGGCGGTTCTCGTATGCAGGATGTTTAGTTCCTAATGAATGTCACAGGATGTGGCGCCCATTCGTCCCAAAAGAATCTTCTGAGAACCAGATCTTTGGCTCTCCTAATGCGGCTCTGACATCTGGCAGCGTAATCAATTGCGGTCTTAAGGAGCTTGATCTCAAATCCTTCTGGTCCACAGATTGCCAATCTTGGTGATCAAACATTTGGACTCGTGCCACAGCCACAGCCATAGACTGCCGGGTCACATAGTCACAAACGGTGTCTACTGTCAACAGCTCCATGGCAGCAAAAGCATCCAAAAGTGCTTTGCCGAAGTGAATGTGGGGTGGAGTGGATTGGCATGTAAGGCTTACAGATTCTTCGGCATCTTGCCTTTAGTCGAAAGCAACCTTTGATGTCGAGGGAACGTAGCTTCGTGTCGTTCTTTCTTTTTTGAGGAGGTTGGTTCATGTTTGCATTCTACTATACTGACCAAACCTCACTTTTGTTCTCTAGATTGTGCATATAAAAGAATCAAATAAGTGACGGAGCATGATTTTGCTACGGGAAGGTGTTGGAGAATGTGCTGGAAGCGTGGTTCTACAGCCCAAGCCAAATGACTGCGGTGTCCAAAAATGGCCGAAACTGACTCGCAGCATGCAAGCGCGAAGGTGATGCTTTTTCCTAAGCAATCCCCAAAACCTGGACAAACAAACCCTTCCAAGCAAACAAGCTGAAGTAGATCGTCTCAAGCATCCTATCATGTCCTATCTGGCTTTTTTGAACCCAAGGCCTAACCAAACCTACGAAAAATAGCCTTCAAGGGTTCATACTGCACAGGTAGGCCCTTGGAAAAGTAGGGCTTGTTAGTTTTCCCAACAAATTCTAGGAACCAAACGAATAGTGCGCGAGCTATCCTGCGTCCAGTAGATAGTGGCTTATAGTATGGGAAACTATTATAGAAGATATAAACACATATTTTCAGATAGAAGGCTGCATATTCCTCCCGTAGCAGGGTTCTGGGACAAATATAAGTAGCTGGGAGCGTTTTCCCTTTACTTAATTAAGTCGGGAGGCGGGGCCTCGTGCTTAAAAAAAATACAAGCCATGGAGCATCATGCCACGGAGTTGGGCAAATTCAGCCTGGGCATTGTTGCCGCGCTCAGGGGCAATGAGCCTCCTCGCCACGGCGAAACGTGACGCTTTGCAAACACTGCCAGTGCCATAGGGACAACAAGATGCAAGTGCCAAGTGCAAAAAGGGACAGAAATGCTAGAATTGCTGCAATGGAAACCGGAGCTTAGTATGGGATCTACATACACCACTCACTCAAAAGGCTACCCCGGCTGTGCCTGTTTGAGACCGCAAAGGGACCTTGATCAGGAGCCAATATCTCAAAGCTACTCTCAAAGCTGTATATGCTCCTCATGTATCCTCCAGCTCCAACTATGCATGAACAGTATGGGCGCCGGAATTCAATCCGTCCGCTTTATTGAAGCGATCGTCTCCAAACATACACCCAGAAGAACTTCATTCCCGATACAAACAATAACTGTTCAATTTGTAGAACGTGCCTGCTGCTGCGAAACACATCGCACCTCTGGCACTAAGCTCCACACGACTGGGCGACCTTCTACTAGCCGATCTTCCGGTCTCAGCAAAGCAACGGTCGTCGGTTACAGCAACCCTTTTGTGCACAAAGATTCCCTTTATTCGTACCGCGGAATCATTTGTGATCACTTGCAACCTTGGCCTGGGTAGGAACTACTGGTAGATCTGGCTTTGAATTTGTTGCATTGGACTGCACACATCAACATATGCCAACCACCGCTACGTTTATCCCGGAATGAGACAAATGCGAACAAGTAGCAGTTCTTGCATATGCGCTTGTAAGGTCACTGCGAGGAGTGTCCAAGTGATATGTACCATCAATACGCCCCAACAGTTGAGTGCGAAACCCGCCATATCTTCTTGGAGGGGAGTCGGACGCTTTTGTATTTCGGCAATGCACAAAAAGGACAATGGAAAAAGGATCCTGGGTTCTGGCCATGGGTCAAAACCGAGAAGAACACCTTGCTCGACCCAAATGAACAGAAAAGGAGGCCCCAAAAAGGTCGACCAAGCTCTTGGAGATGGTTCTTGACTTTTGATCGACTTGGTGATGGCTGGGCACACCACAATGGCCGCGAGTCGAAGACCCTTTGCAGCCTCGAGTCGAAGGTGAACGTCGTCCAACGGGGCCCCGTTTGGCTCTGAAAGGGTCGATCCGCTAAACTCACAAGTGCACCTTTCATGACCTGACATGTTGGGCGTAGCATGGGTCTAAGTGCCCGGCACATGGCCTGACATGTTGGATCTGTCGGTCATCGACTCCTCAGGTTTACACCAACTTCGCGTCAAGCAGAAGTCAGAATCTGACTCAAAAAAGCATTGTAAACGATTTATGATTTATATAAAGGTTGGCTTGTCAGCTAAACCAGGAGACTTGTAGAGCCATCTGCCCTGTGCGTCTAGCCAAGCTTCAACTTCCGGCCGTTCGAGACGGGGGTCGCTCTTGGCTGCCGCTTCACTCCTTTGTCGCACTTCACATGTACTCCGAATGTATGCGTCTCACATTGAAGACAATCACACACCCAAAGGCCATGATCGAATTCTTGTCAAGTGAGTCAAGTCAGAAAGACTCCAAACGACCGTGCCAATCCGTGCAACTATGATCGCCTGCTTTGGTTCCAACTCTAATCCTTTACCACTCTTTCAGGAGCCGACCACTGCGGTGGTTGTGGCCTCAGTTGAAAACTGAAAGCTTGCCATTTGCGGATGTGGGGCGTAGCCAGTTGGATCCCTGAAAGCTCCAACATGTAAACTTTCTCCTTTCTTTTTATACAGGACATTTCCTTTTGGCTCTTTACCGTGTCATTGCCTTGAGATGGGGAACTTCATGTTTTGAGGATTCGGATCATCTATAACTTTCAGTAGAGTCCCAAACACGCAACATTTGATGACATGTTGATATTTGTACATATTCCTACAGGCTCCCACATTCGTCTTGCAAGACCGTTATATCATATCTGCAAAGCCACACCTACTTATTTTTTCGGGATTTCGACTTCAATGATTCCAATGATCACTTGCCTTCCTGCCAAAACAAAACGACCGGGATCTCTATTGCTTTCTGCAGCGTAAGTGTGGCCCGCAGTCGTTTTCGCTTGAGTGCCAAGTGGCGGAACAGCTTGCAGCACCATTGCCGGGCGTGGGCCATGCGGAGTCGGTGAAATCATGCTTGGCGCTGGCGTCGCCACCGGCGTCGGCACCGACGCCGCCACCCCCGGCATGGTTTGCACGTAGGGTGGGTGCGGATACCTTAGACAGGAAGGCTGCTCTACAAGGGGTGAATGGCTGCAGTGTAGTACAGGGCTTACACCCTTTGCACGAAATACGTGCCCAAATGATCCCAAAATATGGCCAGTTCTTTTGCAGCACTTGTTGAATCGGGGGGCTCGGAGTTGAGTTGCGGGGAATTGTCACTGCTGAAGTTGAGACCAAAAACCAGTGGTTCTACCTGAAACCTGGTAAGTAAGAGGTGCCTTCTCCAACAAATTGATATCGTGTGATAGCTTGGTGATTTCTCTGCAAGAAAGTTTGGCACACTCTTCGGGTGAGTTACAGGTCCCCTCTTGTGCTGTTCCAAGTATATGCCATTCCCACGACCCATGATGGATGTTCAAAATCGCTTGCTTCATCCAGTCACGCATTGGTCGGTGGCATGCCAGCGCGGCACGGTAAACCTGAGCATGCCCTGGCTCTTCAACCAGAAAACAGGTGGATCAATAGCCTGAGCCTCCAACTTGCCTTGGAATCTTGATGTCTACATTTGTTTGAAACAAATGGGCATGGATTGGAACCTAGCAGCATTCACAATGACCTGATGCGACTCAACTCACAAAGCATCCCTGGTGATTTGTATCAGCGTCTTCGGCATGTACACACAACTCTGTAAACCTATCTGCATGTTTGTGCATGCAAGTAGGGTTGTGCAGCTGTGCAGGACCAAAATATCCGCACTGAGCCGAGCAAACATGCATACCACGTGCATATGGCATACATTCATAGATGATCATAGATTCTGAGATGGTACAACTTGACAATATCACAGGTGTTTGTTTCTTTCCCATTGACCTTGGCAAACAGTCTCAGTGCCGGCCTGGTCCAGTACTGGCTGATTTTATCAGGCCTCTCTCCTGACAAACAAACATATTCTTGCATGGAGGTTATATGGATGTCTCTAATTTATGAGGAGCCTTTCCTGTCCTATAAGTCTTGTATCTCTCATGATTTGGCAGCATTATTCAGCTGGGCCAGTGTTTGGGCATGTCATGGTGTCCCTTGGCAATGGGGAAGGTCCTGGCATTGAGCGTTGTTATGTCGACGCATTTCTCCTACTAAACAAGAATTGCTGAATGCAAGTAAACACCAATGGACGCGGAAAACGAAACAAGCCACACACCTTCAACCCTCTGATTTCCGACATGATACAACTGCAACTGCACATCCGAATCTCCAAATTTATCTTCACCTGGTGCTGTCAAGCAGCATCCATGCCGGAAGTTGGATGGAAACACTTTGCACGACCCTCAGCTCTCGGCTCTCACCTCTCAGCAATTCATATTGGAACTTTTTGAAAGTGAAACTTTTGGACGGTGCACGACAGCGAACCGTCAAGGCCCTGGCTCAAGCTGAGCTGGGGTTTTTTGCGCTCGGGGTGGGCGCGCCATGTTCCGGTGGAGGACCGTGGTAGTGGTGGCCCTGTGGGCCGTGAGGGGCGGCAATGGTTGGTGGAGCCCAACTTTAGAGTCGACCCCCGAAGCGTCGCCGAGATTCCGGGATGATCCAGCGGGCTTTGTTCGATGGTGGGGCAACCACACTGCACATCAGGCCCACCTGGCCTTTGAGGACTGGAGGCCTGGCTCTTGGGATGGCATTGTCTGGTCAATCCTCGACACCATCCTGAGCGGGTTCGGCTGGATGATCTTTGGCCAGAACTGGGCGAGCGTTAGGAGCGGATGCTCCCTGGTGATTCGCATCGTGGTCCTCATGGCCTTGTGCCTCTTCACGCACTACATCCTGTCCCTTTGCTGGCCTTTATGCTCTCTGTTCATCGGGACCGTGCTGACGGTGATCTGGATCCTTCGTGGCTGTGTGCGGTGCTGCGGCCGTGCTACCTTCCACGTGCAACGATGGACCGGAGGAGTTCCAGAAGCAGTGGGTGCCCGCTTCTTTGGACCTGGCACGGGTGAGATCCCGGAAACAGCGGAGCTGAGGAAGCTGAAAAAGGCAGGAGACGGAGATC